GGTTGGTCTTGGCCTTCACCCAACAGATCGACCTTGAGGAATTTGCTCTGCAACATACATTAAATTAATTATATCCCTACCAATTTTAATATTTCAGTCGAACTTTTATAGAATTAATTTATGAAAATCATATTTTCATAAATGTGTTAAAATTTAAAAGAAACCTAAAATCCTTAGAGCTCCAATCCCACTTATCACAAGTGGAAACACGAAGTGGAAGATGTGTCCAAGTCAACGGCAGCAATAATGATTCTTTTGCAGTCATAAACTTGCCGGCTTTTTGGTTGTAAAATATAGTAATCTATTCTATTGTATCATGTATCCTCCCATTTCCAACTTTTCCTTAGTTTCGCCAACCAAGTAATTATTTTGCATTTTGAGTCCATTTTTCTTTTTCTTTTAATTTTATTTTCTATTTCATCTATTATTGTTGATACATAATTCTCAAATGAGGTGGCGCTGGCGCATCAGTGTGGTGCTCGACTATGTGCACTCTAAAATTTAAGTTAGAACATAGTCCGAACCGGTGTCAAGTCGAGTTTTGATCACCAGGTTACCTAGAAATTACGTATCCAGACTTTGTCTTTTTTATAGGAGATTTTTAGGATGTGTGACCTTCCCATTCCGACACTCATATCTAGTGACCTTTGTTGAACCGGGTAATACATGATTTAGCTCGTCCCACTTTGCACTCAACCTATCCGAGTTGAGGAACAAATACATATTTTTTGGACTTTAAACTTTCAATCTCTTAGATATATAGTCGAGAATATATATCTTAATTAGTTGAGTTATGCTTAGATTGACGAACTATCTATGTGTTTGAAGCTCTTTAATAATTGCAAAGTGGAATTTAAACCAGATGATAATAAGTATCATATTTATTGAACTAGATTGGTATTTGCAAATAAATTTCTATTATAAATTCTACTTAAAAAAATTCGAGATAGTATTAAAAATTTTAGTGATAGGGGAAAAAACATGGTGATTCTTTTTTTTTTTTTTTTTACGCATCAAAATGGAATAAATGTAAAAGTTGAGGACAGATTAAAATAATTTCTTTATCTTGTTAGACCGAACCCTACTCTTAATACTCAATATATTTAGTACCCCACAACATCCAAATACTGTCTTTTTTTATCCCTAATGAAATTTATCAAAAAGAATTCAAGAGCATGAGAGTTTGCCACATGTCAGCAAGTACATAATTTGTATCAAATATTTTATTAAAATAACCATAAATGTTCATGACTAAAAGAGAATTTGATTTTTAAGGAAAAAAGAAAAATTGGTTACACCAAACTCTCCAATATTCAATACATTCAATACCCATACCATCCTAAATAATTCTAAAAACACAACCATTTTTATTCTCATTAAATATATTTCTTAAAAACCCAATTCCAAGGTTAGCTGCCACGTGTCACTCTCATTAGGGGAAAAAAAAATATATATACAATGAGTTTGGTTAGTGTGTTTACTTTTGATGTATTATGGTACATGAATATACTTTAATGAGATTTGAAGAATAACACAATATATAAGTGATGAGAAATGGGATTTCTGGCCAATAATCTGAAACCCCATCATCAACTTTAAAGTCAATAAATCTATTATAATGCTTTTTATTTCTTTTTCCTTCACTTTTTGGTTGGGGAAAACTGTTTATTTTCAACTTTGTGACTTTTGTAATGGGATATGATGATGCTTATCAGCTTTCTTCTATTGTGTGTGTATATATATATATTGCAATTTCCTTCCACTTTTTAAACTCTCTTTGTTAGATTGAAAAGGCATGGGTTTTGATCCCAAACAAGTACCATTAAAGCTATGTTTGAAATTTGCTGTCTTTGTTCAAGAATTATCGTAAGATATAATAACTGACATTGGATGTTATTCTTAATCTAATTTGTAAGTAATAAGAGAAAAGATGATTGAGCAGTTGTAATATGGTGATAAATATATTTGCATTTTTGAGATATTTGACTCATGATTTTAATACGTTTAAGTTTGAATGGTATAAAAGAGGATTAATTATGAAAATTTGAATTTGTGTAACATGTTATTTGTATATGATTTGAAAATGTTAGTATATAATATAGAAGATGAGTTTTATAGACTCTTCCGTAACTTAAATTTTATGTAGTATGTGAGATCAACAAATTCATAACTCGAGATTACCAAAGTTGCATTGTATTTATAGGTCGTATAAGTCTTACATAGAATTTGGTTCTATTATAAAATAATAATAATAATAATAATAATAAATAAATAAACAAGAAGAAGAAGAAAGAATTTGGCTTAGATCAAATTAGTTTTAAATGTCAAATATCGATGGAATTCTGAACGTCTCAATTTCATAGAAATGTAAATGAAAATATCGATAAAATGTAGATGTCGATGCTGATAGATATTTTGGAAAAAGTTATAAAAATAAAAAATTCGTAAAAACTATTTAAATTAATAAATAAACATTTAATCCTTCCTAAATAAGTTAAAAATAATTCATATTAATTTTATTTGTGTCTATATTAGTGAGGTTTTATATATATATTTTTTTTTTTTGATATATTGTTGAATTTTTTTTATATAATAAAAATGTTGATGTTGAACCTATGGATATATATGGAAATATCGACACATTAACAGGTATTTAATACCATGATTTAGATATACCATTTAAAAAGATAGATCATTCTAGTGGTTTTATTATTGGTTACAAATATATGCACTGATAAAATATTTTTTGGAAAAAAAAAGTTTAAAATTGAAACAAAAAGGTAGAAAGTATATATGTGGTGGATTTCCATGGAAGGCTCTAATTATGGTTGAATGAGAGTGAGGAAAGGTAACAAGGTTCATTCAATAATGGTTGAAGTTAATGGATATATATGGAGGGAATAAAATGAATGGACACAAAAGGGTGGCTCTTTCTTTTAATTGCCTTCAATACTTTCATCTCCACCATTGTAATATATGCTCTCATCTATGAAAATCTATTGCCACCTCATCTTCTACTAAAACCCTCTTATTTTCATTATTATTAAAATTAAGATTATCTCCTGAGTTACTCATTATTGTCGAATTGATAGGAAACACTCTGCTTATAATATAATCTCGTAGTGGTACGTAAGATACGGACTCCGCTAATGTCTTGCACCCCCATAAGGTTTCAAATCTTTCTTCAACTTATCTGACAACGATGGAGGTCGAGATGGAATAAATTGAACACAGGAAAAAAACATAGGAAAATTCCTAGATCACTCAATTGGGTTTCGTCTCATACGCTGAAAAACTGAAACTGAGGAAGAGAAGATGAAGAACAAGTATCATGCTTAATATATAATTAATCGCACTCAACAATTTATAACACCTATACAAACCTATATATACAATTCTGTCATTGACAACCTAATCCAAGTTAGATAACAAAAACAAGTGGGAAATTAAGAGAAAATATTGGAGGGATGAAGGTATGACTTTACAATAACTTTCATATTAAATCGAAGCGTTAGTATATTTGGATATTTTTGTAATCTTAGGCTTATTCTTATTGTATCAAATTTATATGATTCGCCCTAATAAGCTTAATTTGAGCACTAGATGTACTTAAAAAAAGAAAAAAAAAAAACTTGAACACTAGAATAGTTTTGATCAACACGAATGGGACATAAATTTATTCTTAAACTAACTTAAGGGTGAAAATAGGTTTTAGTCATACCACAGTGTATTTTATACTTATTTCTACTAAATTCATCAAGAAATCACCATAATAATAATTATTATTAAAGAAAAATATCATGTCAGAAATTGTTTCATCATTACCACAAACAATGACACTCTTAAAAATTTTACTAAACTAACACTATTTTATGAAGCTATAAATAAAATGTTTTAAAATTATTAGATTTTTATAGCCCCTAAGATAATCTTATAAAGAAACAAATTTTAATTAGGGGTTGCTTTGACGTTATTCTAAAATATTCATTTTATTTTGGGGGATTTTCAATATTGTTTTTTAGAAATGACATATGAGTGACTTTTGAAAGTTTAACATTATAGTACACTTTAATTAATTATCCAGAAGACTATGATTTTCGGAAGGAAAAAAATAGTTGTTAAAAAAATAAATTTGAAAAACAAGAGAAAACAATTTTTTAAAAATAATTATCTAAACAAATGTATTTTAATTGTTTTTTTTTTCAAAAAAAAAAGAAGATAATTCATAACATTCCAATATTAGGGATTGAAGTATATAATTTTTGAGAAAATATAAAAGATAATTTTTTTAGTTCAAATAATAGGGGGAGAGGTTCAAAGTCATTAACATGTTAATTATATTTCAAAATTACTTACATTTTTTTAATAAATTGAGAAATAGGTTTGCAAGAAATTTGTTTGGCTCAAGTTTATTAATTTAT